ACAATAAAGGGGATATGATCAAATAGGAATATAATTATCTTTTAAATAACGTTAACTAAAGGGAACAATCTATTTGACACAGCTGAAGCTCTGGCCTTCCTTAAAAACTAACTCATTTAATAAAAATCACAGTTGTATTACACACAATGCACTGTTTTTTGAGAACAAAAATTGGTGAATAATGCACCATAATACATTCTGACGAAAAATAAAAATTATTATGAATACAAATTTAAAAAAAGAAGCCTACCGTGAGTTAAGTTAAGTTAAAAGTTAACGAGATTCAGAGTGCAACTCTGTCCCGGTGTGCAAAAAATACAAACACATACAGAACACTAAAAAACACGGTCATAGGACAGACACCATAAACAATCATACGGGGGAATAAATAGTTAAAAATATTGATATAAAAATAGTATATAAAGTGCATTCAAAGTGTGTGTATATGTGAGACTGGTTACGGTTATTGCATTATGTGTGGTGGTTGAGCAGCCTGACGGCCCAGGGGTAGAAACTGTTTTTGAGTCTGTTTGTCCGTGACTCGATGCTCCTGTATCTTCTCCCAGAAGGCAGGAGAAAGAACAGACTGTGACCTGGGTGAGAGCTGTCCTTTATTATTTTGTTAGCTCTGTTGCGGCAGCGGGAGGTGGAGATGTGTTCCAGAGAGGGGCAGGGGGCAGCCGATGGTTTTCTCTGCCATCCTGATCACTCTCTGCAGGGCTTTCTTGTCCGCAGCTGAGCATCCTGCATACCACCCAGAGATGGAGTAAGACAGCACGCTCTCGATGGTCGCCCGGTAGAAGGACACCAGCAGCTTCTTGTTCAGTCGGTTCCTCCGAAGCACCCTCAGGAAGTGTAGTCGCTGCTGGGCCTTCTTAACTGCTGCAGTGGTGTGTGCTGTCCAGCTGAGGCTCTCCGAAATGTGAACCCCCAGGAACTTAAAGGTGGGGACCCTCTCCACTCTCTCTCCGTTGAGGTGAAGGGGGGCGTGTTCTGGATGGTGCTTTCTGAAGTCTATGATGATTTCTTTTGTTTTGCTTGTGTTCAGATGTAGGTTGTTAGCTGAACACCACGCAGACAGCTTCAGGATCTCGTCTCTATATGCCGACTCGTCGGCTCCCTTATATATTTGGCCGACCACAGTGGTGTCATCTGCAAATTTTATAATGGAGTTGGAGGGGTGGGTGGGAGAGCAGTCGTGTGTGTAGAGTGTGTAGAGTAGCGGGCTCAGCACGCAGCCCTGCGGGGAGCCAGTGCTGAGGGTGCGGGTGGAGGAGCAATAAGGGCCTATTTTCACTGTCTGAGGACGGTCTGTTAGGAAATTATTAATCCAGGTGCATAAGATGGAGGGGAAACCTAGGCTTGACAGTTTTTCCACTAGTATGTCAGGTATGATGGTGTTAAAAGCTGAGCTAAAATCGACAAACAGCATCCTTATATAGTTGCCTGGGCCTTCTAGGTGGCTCACAGCTGTGTGAAGGACCGTGGAGATGGCATCATCCGTGGATCTGTTGGCTCTATAGGCAAACTGATGAGGGTCGAGGGAGGGTGGGAGGCTGGCTTTGATGTAGTCGGCTATCAGTCTTTCGAAACATTTCATCACCGCCGATGTTAGGGCTATGGGCCTGTAGTCGTTGAGCTCTCTGACTGGTGACTTTTTGGGGACAGGAATGATGGTAGCAGTTTTCAGACAGGATGGAATGCAAGCTTGTGACAGGGACAGGTTGAATATCCTGGTCAGGACCCCTGAAAGCTGGTCAGGACCCCAGAGAGCTGGTCAGCACAAGCTTTGAGTACTTTGCCGAGTACTCCATCGGGTCCTGCGGCTTTTCCAGGATTCACAGACCTCAGCGTCTGCTTCACCTGATGTTCTTTGAGAGTGGGAGGTGGTATGGAGCTGGAAGTTTGCAGGGACGGAGGCAGAGTAGAAAAGTGGGGGGGGTCTGCTAGCCTCAAAGCGGGCAAAGAAGTGGTTTAGCTCCTCTGCGAGGTGGGCGTCAGCTCTAGTAGTGCCAGGTGTTTTGCCCTTATAGTTGGTTAGCTGGTGAAGGCTCTGCCAAACGCACCGCGTGTTGTTATGAGCGAGATTCTCCTCCACTTTTCCCTTGTAGTCCTCCTTCGCAGCCTTGATGCCTCTCCTCAGGTTCGCCCTTGCCATGCTGTACTGGGCTGCGTCCCCTGACCTGAAGGCTGTGTCACGGGAACTCAGGAGAGACCGCACCGCTCTTGTCATCCATGGTTTTTGGTTAGGGTAGACCCGAATGCGTTTTTCCACAGTTACAGTGTGCTATAAAGTAGATTTTAAAAACGTTTTATAGAATAAAAGCTCACTGCTGGACGTTGTAGAAATGCGTGTGTGCACCACGACAAAGGAGCCTCATTCACTTTACATTGGGGTTGTTTGCGTGGTGCAGACACGTAAATGTAGCAAAGTTCGTGACTCCACCACGCACTGCGGTGTTAAGGAGTCGTGGTGGAGTCACGCATTCTGGTGAGACCAGGTTGGGTTTTTGTAGTGGTTTCTCAGTTGAATTATACGTTCAGGGTAATCAACAGTTAAAAAGATACTGTTCAAATTATTATTTGTTTTAAAGTTCAATAAATGGATGTTTTCAAAGTCAATGAATAATCGTGATATCAATTATTGACCAAAATAATCGTGATTATGATTTTTGCCATAATCGAGCAGCCCTAGTGGGTGTGTGTGTGTGTGTGTGTGTGTGTGTGTGTGTGTGTGTGGTGTGTGTGTGTGTGTGTGTGTGTGTGTGTGTGTGTGTGTGTGTGTGTGTGTGTGTGTGGTGTGTGTGTGTGTGTGTGTGTGTGTGTGTGTGTGTGTGTGTGTGTGTGTGTGTGTGTGTGTGTGTGTGTGTGTGTGTGTGTGTGTGTGTGTGTGTGTGTGTGAGTGTGTGTGAGAGTGAGAGAGAGAGAGAGAAAGTAACAAGAGCTATATTCAGAGCTCTGCTGCCTTGGCTACAATCTTTCATCGTTGCTGTTGCATGATTGGTGTTTAGCTACGGTATTTAGCGTCTATAGCACCTCTGCTTTTAGGGTTGACGTAGACCCAAACGTCGCCCGGAGGTCCCCCGGTGTTGTTGCGGGAGCTGCTGCACTAGCTAACGCTGCACTAGCTAACGCTACATTAGCAAAACAAACGCTAACTTCTTTTGCAAAAGCTGCAGCGGGCTTCAAACACGTTCCCCTCCACTGGTTTCAACCAAGCACTAAATTCGATGTTTTCCAACCAAATACGGTTGAACTTACACTTCCCCATATTTATTTGTAAGTAGATTTGAAGATACATGAGTTTCTGACTGCCGCTAGCTGAAGCTTGGTTGCTATGTTACTAGCTGGGTGTTCTCCAATAAGGGGCCGGGGGAAACAAAGTTAGTGATTACTGGTTCCATGTTGATTTAATTCAATACAGATTGTTGGGGGGAACTGAAAGGCTCTCACCGTACAGGTTACTTTGCAGCCCGGACATTTCCCCCAAAACGCATTTAGAGGCGATCGCAACACAGAAGTACCTTTCAAATCCCATCATTTTTAAGACCTTCTAAATCATATTTAAGACCTTTCTTATTTTTTTGGTCATATTTAAGACCTTTTTAAGGCCTTAAATTCAGATGATCAAATTTAAGACTGTTTAAGACCCCGCGGGAACCCTGAATAAAACCACCAGACACCTCACGCCGCCCCTTCATGCCATTAACAGCTCACTACCTGCCGTCAAACAGAAGGGGGGGGTCGTCTAAAACAATCCATGATTAAGGTCTTAATTTGGTAGAGTCATCTTTCTTTGCTCATTATATGATTCATAATACAAATAGAAGTCATTAGAAACCAACTCAAGAGAGGTACGTTGGAGGCTGGAGCAGGATTGACTCTTCTCCAAAGAGAGTCAGATACCCCATTCACACCAACGGTATTTCGGGGCTGGTTCGGTGCTGGTGCTTGAAAAGCACCGGGTTTTCCTGTTCACACCGCAGCGGAGCAGCCTCTAAGCTCCGGAATCCGGTTCGTTTCGAGCACCAAAAAGTTGTCCGTCTAGAAGCAAGAACCGCATACGTCACGCTTACGTCGGAGGGGGGCGAGATTAACCTGAGCTAACAGTTAAGGCGAGTACGGCAAATAAAAGTTGTAACAAGCAGTAGCGCTGAGCAAAGTGACTAGAACGCAACCACACACTTGTAAAAAAAAACACGCTTTATAAAGTCAGGCAACACTAACCAGGCTTCGTGTGATTCTGTTTATTTGTACCTTACGTTCGCTGTTATTGATCATTGTGGAGAGCAGGCAGACGTTTTGTTTGTTATTATAGCAGCTATCGGATGGAATCAATACATGGGCTGCACAGGTTGTCATGTCCGACTATGCCTGTAGAAAACGGCTTATGCCACAATAGGATAGCAACAAGTAGTCAAGTAGTCAGTTTAGCTTCGGTTGCTATGCTAACATCACCCATGTTGTACCAGAGAAACTTTCATAACAGCGTTGTGATGCCAAACAGCGTCAATTCAGACTGACACACATTCACTTAAGGGGAACTGGGGATATGTATCAGCTGCTTGTGTGACAGTCAGACAGTGAATACTTTAGAGCCGTGTGAGCTAACCCGGAGCTAACGGGAGAATACACTCGTGGAAGAGCAGCCAGCACTGCAGCGGTCGGTAAATGAAACACATTAATAAACAATGAACCACGGCACTCTGGAGAAAAGTATAAGGTTGGAGAAGTCGTTATTTAATTTAATCTGGCTTCGTATGATTAAAAGCAATGCAGTCCCCGGCCCATTGTTGTTGTGAGGTGAGCTCCGTTGGGGAGAAAATCAGCGACGTAAACTGTGACGCTCTTTTCACACCGCTCAAAGACCGACTGGTGCTGCCGCTGCTAAACCGAAGTACCGGTTCCGAACCTGAAAAGCTCTAGCACGGAGCTTGAACCGGAGTTACGTTGGTGTGAAAGGGGTAAGATAGTAACAGAGTCCAGTTTGAAATGCTTACCTTTCATCAGCACTTTGTCCAGCTTTAAAGTAAGGAGGAGACTCCATAGAAAACTCACTCTTCATGGACACACAGCTGGATCCAGGTCCAGGTCCAGGTCTCTGGATCCTGATACGAATAAAGAAGAGTTCATCTTTGTGCTCTTCTTTTTATTGGATTTATGATCAAGCTCACATTTTAAACAGGCTAACGCTGCAAACTTCCCGCAGTGGGACCACTTTCTGAGTCTGAGAGTCAGAAGATAGTCCAGTTTTCAATTTCATACCTTCCCTCTGCAGGACGTCCTGATTTAAAGACAATACGGTGATCCATAGACCAGTCACTCTTCATGGACACACAGCTGGGTCCAGGTCCATCTGCAGGTTCAGGTTCAGGTCCAGGTCCAGGTCCAGGTCCAGGTCCAGGTCCAGGTCCAGGTTCAGGTTCATCTTCAGGTCCAGGTCCAGGTTCAGGTCCAGGTCCAGGTCTAGGTCTCTTCCGCTGCTTCCTGAAACAAACAAGTCAAAGTGAACAAAGTGAGTTATAGCAGATTCTCTCTGGTTCCAGTTCATGGATCAGTTTGCTCTTTCTTTAGCTTCACATCAGTTTCAGATGTCCAGTTCTTCTTTAGCGTCCCACTAGAGGACATCTGACTTCTAGCAGAGATAAAACAACCACACAACAACAACAACAACAACACAATAATCAAATAATCATCTCTGAAAAGATGGAGTAAGCTAGAAGAACCAAAGAGCTAACAGAACAATGTCCCAGCGTCCGGGAGAAGAAACTCTGAACTCCTCAGAAAGAAGCTGATCACGTGACACACTTTTACATTCTCACCTTCCCTCTGCAGGACGTCCAGATTTAAAGAAAAGAGGGGGATCCATAGACCCGTCACTCTTCATGGACACACAGCTGGATCCAGGTCGATCTTCAGGTTCATCTTCAGATCCAGGTCCAGGTCCAGGTCCAGGTCCAGGTCCAGGTCTAGGTCTCTTCCGCTGCTTCCTGAAACAAACAAGTCAAAGTGAACAAAGTGAGTTATAGCAGATTCTCTCTGGTTCCAGTTCATGGATCAGTTTGCTCTTTCTTTATCTTCACATCAGTTTCAGATGTCCAGTTCTTCTTTAGCGTCCCACTAGAGGACATCTGACTTCTAGCAGAGATAAAACAACAACACAACAACAACAACAACAACAATAACAACACAAGAATCAAATAATCATCTCTGAAAAGATGGAGTAAGTTAGAAGAACCAAAGAGCTAACAGAACAATGTCCCAGCGTCCGGGAGAAGAAACTCTGAACTCCTCAGAAAGAAGCTGATCACGTTACACACTTTTACATTCTCACCTTCCCTCTGCAGGACGTCCAGATTTAAAGGTATAAGGGGGATCCATAGACCTGTCACTCTTCATGGACACACAGCTGGATCCAGGTCCAGGTTCAGGTCCATCTTCATCTTCAGGTCCAGGTCCAGGTTTGGGTTTAGGTCCAGCTTCAGGTCCAGCTTCAGGTCCAGCTTCAGGTCCAGCTTCAGGTCCAGCTTCAGGTCCAGGTCCAGGTCTCTGCTGCTGCATCCTAATACTGATATCAGAGAAAGATAAAGATGGCGTCTCCTCTCAGTTTTTATTTATTTTTATTTAGCCTTTATTTATACAGGTGTAAAATCTCATTGAGACACAAGGTCTCATTTCCAAGAGAGACCTGTCAGTGGTAACACTACCACACAAAGTTACAGACAGACAGGACACTAAACACAGAGGCAACCCTAAAATACAACATCCAATCCATATACAGTATTCAGATATAGCAGGTGCAAACACCCACAGATGATTTCTCCAGCTTTTTTAACATTAGTTTAAAATCCGTGATGGGTATCAAACTGGTCAGCTTAAGTTCCTGCTGAAGTGTGTTCCAGGTCGAGGGGGCAGAGTATGATATGGCTTTTTTCCCAAGCACCGTGCGTACTGAGGGGACGGACAGAGTGATGTCATTTTGAGATCGTAGGCTATAGCTGTACTGTTTGTGTGATATGTAAGTGGATATGTAGAGGGGCAGCAGTCCAAGCATAGCGGTATAGATGAGTTTGTACCAGTGCAGTGATCTGCGCATTGATAATGATGTCCAGTTGACTAAAGAGTACGCTGTACTCTTTAGTCAACTGGACATCATTATCAGTGGTGTGTGAGGGGTTTACAGTGGGTTATGAACCTCAGAGCCCCATGGTAGACAGCGTCCAGCAGATGAAGGGAGTGAGCTGAGGCGTTCATGTACACAACATCCCCGTAGTCCAAGAGCGGCAACAATGTGGCAGCTACAAGCCGTTTCCTCGCACTTGTGGAGAAGCAGGCCTTATTTCTAAAAAAGAATCCCAGTTTTAATTTCAATTTCCTTAAGAGATTGTCAATATGTGGTTTGAAGCAGAGATTGTCATCTATAGTAATGCCTAAGTATCTGTAGGTGTTAACAGCTTCAATGGGGTTATGCTGTGCAGACATGATGCAGGGAAGAACAGTTGGTAACCTTTTCTTATTGGAAAACAACATGACTTTTGTCTTATCTGAGTTTAACACCAACCTAAGGTGGAACAGATGTGACTGAAAAGTGTCAAAAGCAGACTGCAGACGTTCAAAGGGCAACAGTGCTAGCACAACAGTACACAGCAGTATCATCTGCATATAGATGTACAGAGGCATTAATACTTTTACCCAAATCATTTATATAAATAGTAAAAAGGGTCGGTCCCAAGACCGAACCTTGAGGAACACCTCTGGGCACATTAAGAAAGCTTGAGGAGAGACCGCTGAATTTTACACATTGCTTGCGATTCGAAAGATAGTTTGCAAACCAACCAACAGCTTGGTCAGACAGGCCTATATGGGGTCACTTCATGGTCCACAGTATCACCAACAGCTTGGTCAGACAGGCCTATATGGGGTCACTTCATGGTCCACAGTATCAAATGCCTTGGATAAGTCTATAAAAAGGGCAGCACAGTAGCTCTTTGCGTCCAAGCTTTCGACAATGTCATTCACTACTTTCAAAGCAGCTGTTACTGTACTGCTTCCTAAAGCCTGACTGGTGAGGAGATAGGATGTTGTTCAAGCTTAAATATTCTTTGATTTGATCATTCACCAGCCTTTCAAGTACTTTAGCTAAAATAGAGAGCTTGGAAATTGGTCTGTAATTATTCATCACCATGGGATCACCACCTTTCAATAAGGGGAGAACATTTGCAGTTTTCCAAACATCTGGAATGACATTGTTTGTTATAGAAATATTAAAAACATGACACAGTGGTTTGGCTATAATATCTGCAGCTAGCCGTAAGAAATAAGGGGGGAGATCGTCCGGGCCTCCTGATTTTTTGGGGTCTAGGCCCTTTAGAGCCTTACAAACCTCCCCAACATTGAAGGGGTTGAAGGAGAAAGTGTGGCTACTGGAGGCATGACTATTGGCGATGGAGGGAGATGATTTACCAAAAGATAATGTGTTAAACAAGGAACTGGACGCAATAAAATGTTTATTAAAACAATTAAGCATCTCTGTCTTATTTGACACAGGGGTGGAGTCAACAACAACATGTCGTTGTGTCCCTGAGACACTTCACCCCAAATTGCTCCTATGGGAATTGCCCACAGTATTGAGTATGTAATTCGCTTTGGATAAAAGCATGTAACATGTCATGTAATGTAATGTAATGCAGCTTTAGTATCCGGTTCCGGCCATTTGTTTAAGAAATTAAAACAGTCTAATCCCTTAAACCAGTGGTTCTCAACCTGTGGTACGCGTACCACTGGTGGTACGCCAGCTCCCGCTAATGGTACGCGGAGGAATCTGACATATAACAAGTAACATGTAATGTAATGTAATGTATGACCAACACCCAGTTTTTGATTATTATCTCTCTTTCATTTATTTAGGAAGAGTCCGAACCAGAGCTTGGAGGTGTTGCAGTGGCCCTCCTTACTGTCATCAGTGACAATGGCACAAGTCAAGTGCAATATCAGCCTGTGACCATCTCTGTTGTCATCGAAAATGACATTGTGGTCAGCCTCCCCAGACTTGCAGATGCATTCCTGGTAATGTTTGGACTAATTTATGCACTACACCTCAGCTATCCCAAAGGACTGACAAACACTTTCGAGTTCACTCAGAAGGTTTTACTTGGTCTGGAAGATGGTAAATTGTCGCCCAAGTTGCAGACCCTCAAGAATGACTTGATGATGCATGTGTAGAAATCCATCTGAAAAACAGGTGTGGAGTGCGGCATTTTAAGGCATTTCCCCTCTACTTCAAAGTGATTTCCTTCTGAAAAAAAAAAATGTTTAAAAAATTGCTGTACCAGTTGCTGCAGGTTTTCAGCCAGGTGGTCAAGCTGCTCAATGTTCCCTTTTACTTGTACATGTTATATTAATGTAAAATTAATTAGGGCATTTTGTGTCCTGTGGCTCTCTGTTTGATTCTGTGACTAACTCTGCTTCTGTGAACACCACAGTCTGTGACTCTGAAAAACGTGTTTTGGAAAACCCTTTTAGTTTTACTCCTTTTACTGTTGATGTTGTTCGTGAAGCTTTAACCAAGTTAGATCCTAAGAAACCGGCCGGCCCGGAGAACGTAGAACCTTTCTTTTTAAAGATAGTTGCAGATGTTATTGCTCCACCTCTCACTTCTCTTTTTAACCTCTCCCTCAGCACAAACACAATTCCTAAAGTATGGAAGTCAGCGTATGTCCTGCCACTACTAAAAGGAGGGGAAGCAACTATTTTAAATAACTATAGGCCCATCTCTAAATTGTCAGTTCTGGCTAAGGTTCTTGAACGCCTAGTGAGTGAACAGGTAAAGGTGTTTTTATGTACAAATGACATCCTGTCTAAACATCAGTCAGGCTTCAGAAAGCAACACAGCACCATCACTGCCACAATGAAAGTGGTGAATGATGTGGCGAGTATTTTAGATAATAAGCAGAGCTGTGCAGCTCTATTTATTGACCTTTCCAAAGCGTTTGATACCGTTGATCATCGCATCTTAAAGCAGAGGCTACTCAGTATTGGCTTATCCAGCCATGCAGTGGGTGGTTTGTGAACTACCTCTCTGAAAGGTCCCAATGTGTTCACTTTGATGGGCTGTCTTCTGAGTGGTTGAACATTACTAATGGTGTTCCTCAAGGTTCTGTTTTAGGTCCACTTTTATTATTATTATTTTTTGATTTTGAGGGATGACGGTTTGCTCTTTAATAATACCAAATATTTCTGATTAACCGGCATTCATAATGTGAATGTGTGTTTATGCGTTTGTTTGTTTGTTTGTTTGTTTGTTGCTGCACTTTAACTCATCCAGATGAAGATTTGATACTTGTTAACCTGTTTCACGCCTTCCCCCCGGTACCGGGCGGATAAACGCGTCATTTGCAGGAAACAACGTCTAAGGAATCTTAATATTGAATAAAACTATGAATGTGTTATATCCATGTAACGGGAAGAAACTCAGCTAACTGATCTTTTTAATTTTTTTTTTCAAAAAAACCCCACAATGCTAGCACTCAGCCTCTGAATTAGCCTCGATCGAAAAAACGGGACCGACAAAGGCACATAAACTCACTCAGAACTCCCTTATTACTTATCCTAGATGCACAACCAAACACTATTTTTTGGTGTCCTGGAGACACTGAATCTAACGGTGCCCACCTCAACACTCAGTGATAAACATTCGCGACGCTATCAACGAAAGCGTACATCATCACATGTGGAGCCAAGAAGCTAAACATATAAATATGGCTTACCTTGGTCAAAAGTGGTCTTCAATGGCATTAAAACGATAAAAAAACGATGCTGCAGTTAATCCATAGGTTCATCCTATGTGTCTGTGCCTTCTTTGAAATTATTTCTGATAATCCATAAGCAATACAACTGCGTTTTAGTTTCCAAACTCCAGAAGGAGACATTCCTCCAGTTTAGTTTCGCTTTCCACACGCGAAGCGGCAACATTTTTTCTTTACAATGTGTGTCTATGTAGGTATCCTCCTTCGATTCTATTGGCTCTAACGGTCACAAGGGTATGTCAACCAACCAGATCGAGCAAGGGGGGCCAGAGATAGGTCAAATCCACCCAAATGACCCCAGATGGCCCAGTTTTTGGCTAAACCTCTCTAAAAAGGTCAAATTTCACTTGTTTTGCATCAATCTTGATACAGGGTACTTATTATATGTTGTACTTTGGATTCCTAAAGCTTTTAGTCTACTAACCCATCATCCAAGGGTAGTTTTCACTATCTGTAAAAAATAATTTTTGGACGGACACTATAATTTACAGTTTTTTACTATGTAAAATCTGAATTTTCTTTAAAATAAAAAACATTTATATTGATTCTGACACTTCTACATCCAACTCACAGGTTTATCATTACTTTGAGAAAAGATTATTAATTTAACCCTTTTAGAAGGGAAGATATGGTCATTTGTTCTGGGAATGTCATTTTCGAGCCTGAGACCTGAAAAACAGGCTCAGAGTGGAACAGGTTAATGTAATTCATTTACATTTTAGAGTTTTACAGTTAAAGGGTTCAGACTGTCATTGTGATGTTA